TTAAGGTCACGATACCACCAACTTCGAGTCCTAGATGAAGACATTCCAAAGACGGCATTCAGAACTCGCTACGGCCACTATGAATTCCTAGTTATGCCATTTGGATTGACCAATTCCCCAGCAGTTTTCATGGATCTCATAAAACCGTGTTTGCAAGCCCTACTTGGACAAATTCTTGATTGTATTCATCGATGATATATTGATATACTCACAAACCAAGGAGGAACACGAGAAACACCTTCAACTAATCCTAGAACTGCTACGAAAGGAAAAGTTGTACGCCAGATTCTCTAAATGTGAATTTTGGGTTAGAGAAGTAAACTTTCTAGGGCATGTGGTCAGCAACAAAGATATTCATGTCGATCCTACCAAGATAGAGGCAATCAAGAATTGGGTAGCACCTAAGACGGAAACAGAGGTGCGCCAATTCCTAGGACTTGCAGGCTACTATCGGAGATTCATAGAAAACTTCTCCAAAATAGACAAACCACTCACAACATTAACACGGAAAGACATGAAGTTTGATTGGAAAGACAAACAAGAATTTGTGTTCCAGACACTGAAGAAAATGTTGTGTAGTGCACCAATCATATCCCTCCCAGATGGGACAGATGATTTTGTCGTATACTGCGATGCATCACACCAAGGGTTCGGATGTGTATTGATGCAAAGGGACAAAGTTATTGCATACGCTTCTCGTCAACTCAAGGTACATGAGAACACCTATACTACCCACGATCTAGAACTAGGAGCTGTAGTTTTTGCCTTAAAGATTTGGTGACACTATCTCTATGGCAAAAAGTGTATCCTTTACACAGATCACAAGAGTCTTCAACACATCTTCAATCAGAAAGAACTCAACATGAGACAACGAAGATGGATTGAGTTGTTGAATGACTATGAATGTGAAATTCGTGATCATCCTGGCAAGGAAAAACGTTGTAGCAGATGCCTTGAGTAGGAATGAACGAATAAAGCCTCGGAAGGTCAAGGCACTAACAGTTACAATCCAGTCGAACCTGGCTGCTCAAATTAGAAAGGCTCAGCTAGGGGCTCTAGAAGAAGAAAACATTACTAATGAATGCCTGCGAGGAATGGACAAACAATTCAAGCTTAGGGATGACGGTACACGATGTTTCATGGACGGAATTTGGATGCCAAAATTTGGTGACATCAGAAGCTTAGTCATGGATGAGGCTCACAAGTCAAGGTATTCCGTTCATCCAGGCTCCGACAAGATGTACCTAGACTTGAAGAAGCAATATTGGTGGCCAAACATGAAAGCAGAGATTGCCACTTATGTGAGCAAATGCTTGACTTGTGCTAAAGTCAAAGCAGAGTACCAAAAACCCTCCAGATTATTACAACAGCCAGAAATACCCGAGTGGAAGTGGGAACAAATTACAATGGACTTCGTAACAAAACTACCCAAGACACCCAGTGGTTATGACACTATTTGGGTTGTAGTTGATCGATTGACTAAGTCCGCCTACTTCCTGCCAATCAAAGAAACTGATAAGATGGAAAAGTTGGCCCGAACTTATCTCAAGGAAATTGTCAAATTGCATGGGGTGCCAATTTCTATCATCTCTGATAGAGATAGTAGATTCGCCTTACGATTTTGGCAATCCTTACAGAAGTCCGTGGGATCATGCCTTGACATGAGCACAGCTTACCATCCACAAACAGATGGTTAAACTGAAAGGATCATTCAGACATTGGAAGACATGCTCCGAGCGTGTATGATAAACTTTGGAAGCACATGGGATACTCATCTTCCTCTGATTGAGTTTTCATACAATGATAGTTATCACACCAGCATTAAAGCTGCACCATTTGAAGTCCTATACGGACGCAAGTGTCGATCACCAATATGTTGGGCAGAATTAGGTGATACCCAACTAGCAAAGAAACATGCAGGCGATACACTACTTACTGGTCCATAATTCATGCATGAAATGACTGAGAAAATCGTCCAAATACGTGATAAAATTAAGGTTGCACGAGATCGTCAGAAAAATTATGCCGACAAGAGACGAAAACCTCTAGAATTTCAAGTTGGAGATCGAGTTATGCTGAAAGTCTCTCCTTGGAAGGGCGTCATAAGTTTCGGGAAACGAGGAAAGCTTAATCCAAGATTTATAGGACCTTTTGAGATTCTTACAAGAATTGGTCATGTAGCCTATCAAATCAAGTTACCTCATGAGCTCAGCAATGTACACAACGTTTTCCATGCATCTAACCTCAAGAAGTGCTTCTCTGATGATGCTCTTGCAATTCCACTCGACGAAATCCAAATAATTACCAAACTTAATTTTGTAGAAGAACCCATTGAAATCATGGATCGAGAAGTCAAACGATTAAAACAAAGTTGTATTCCTATAGTAAAGGTGCGATGGAACTCTCTAAGAGGACCAGAGTTTACTTGGGAACGTGAGGATCAAATGAAGAGTAAGTACCCCCAACTATTCAACAATGTTCCGTACACAAATTAAATTTCGGGACGAAATTCTCTTAACGGGGAGGAGAATGTGACAACAGTCAAATTAAATTAACGGGTGTCACTTGCGAACGTGACGTAAATCAAATGTAATAGGCTTAATTTGTAATGTTTGAACAACTTTTAATAAAAATACAAATTTTGTCTACAAAGAAGTTATAACCCTTGTAATTTCAACAAAACTTAACTAGTTATATTTTACGTCGTAAATTACCGATTATTAAAAGTTAGATTAGTCATTAAATAATATTTAATATATAATTGGTAAAATTCTATTCTTATATAATGACAAATTGACATATAATACTTGATAATATATATATATATATATATATATATATATAATATATATATATATATATATCCGGCACCTTTTGTATGGTAAATATATACATAAATTGAAACAAACGATATGTTTATATATATATTTCATAAAATAACCTTTCAATCAATTTTATCTAATTACGGTATCGTATCAATAATATTCAAATTTATATTTTAATTTAGATGTTACAAATATTGTAAGGATTATAGAGATTCAAATACTTTAAAATGAATATTCTATTAATAAGAATATTAAAGCAATATATATATATGATGTAGGTGTGTTTAAAAACAAACATGTATCATGTTGGATAAGAATTATCACGTACATAACTTAGTGACATAAGGTGGCATGCATGTTACATTCCATGAAGAATACGGTCGCAATAAAGATAACCTTAAAAGTTACTATAAATAGAAGCAATCATCTTTTACATTTCAAATTCGGCTCATTTTCTCATAAATATTCACCGACCCTCTCTATTTCTTCGAGTTTTCCTCACTTCAAGGTTTGGCCCCCAATTTTTGATCGCTTTCACACAGAGTTTATCGTCAAATAAAAACAAGCTACGAGGGTGAGTTTCACGGCCTCGTTTCAAACTTTTTATCATTTTTCGGGGGAGGATATATCTTTTTATATTATTTATTTATATAAATCATAAATTGTTTATATCGCTTATAATTTAGTTACATAATCGTTATAACAGTTTACCGTTAAAACAATCGTTTACATATATAAAATTTGATAAACACTGTCGTTATGTTGCCCACATAATATGAAACTATATTATGTATTGCCGTTACTATACCCACATAATATAAAACTATATTATGCATTGCCGTTATTATGTCCACATAATATAAAATTATATTATGCATTGTCGTTACTATACCCACATAATATAAAATTTTATTATGCATTGTCATTAATTTGTGAATAAATTATTACACATTGCTGTTTCTCTCCATATTTAAATTTTACAAAATTATTTAATTATATAATTATAAAAATATTTTTATAATTATATAACATAAACCGATAAACATAAACATATAAAGTTACAAGACTATAACTTTTAGCACTACTCATTCAAGGGTTTACATGAGATACATTCATCACCTAAGTGTAATAGTTAGTAAAGTCTCTACCTATAATCGTTAAATCTTAAGTGAGTGACAGAGTTATGTATATAGATCTATATGGGCTCACACCCCACCTGCGGTTACTAGCTACAACCATCGACGGTCAAGTCACGGGTGATAACTATCTAAACACTATGACGTCCGATGAAGCGTCGTGAGGGGCAACAACTCGTTTGTGGCTCGATTATGGGAACTCATGTAACATTGATAATCACGCTTAAAAGCAAATATAAGTTTGAAAATACTTATATACGATAGAACAAGTACTTTTGAAAATAAAGTACACATACAAATATAAGTTTGAAAATACTTATATACAATAAAAATATTCTTTGGAGTAAAAAGTACGTTAATACAAATATACAAACCTTTGAACTCACCAAGTTTATGTTGACATTTTTAAATCACATGTATTCTCAGGAAAGTAAGAGTCAGCCGTATCAATCTTTTGGGAAATCTTCATGGGACCGTCGAGCACTTTCTATCTTTATTGTACTTATCTGATTAAGAACTACTTGTAATTTTTGGTTTCTTGTATTCTAAAAATTTAATACGATATGTAATATATTTTGTAATATAAAGATAACATCTGTGTTATACTGTTCAATGTAAACAATAACTGTGAACCATGACGATGTCGCACAAGCTCGGTATTTCCGCCGTCGGCCGGGGTGTGATAGTATTCTACTAGAATACACTCTTATTATGCTAGAATACACTCTCATTCTTCTAGATATGAATGCATTTTGAAAGAATATTATTGTTGACATTAATGACGAATTTAATTAGTTTTCATAAAAATGAGTTGTATATATGTATGGATAACTTTTAATATACATAAAATTATCAGTAAATTTTTATTGGTCCATTCTAACACACAAAAGATATGAGAAACTTTTGAATATATATATATATATATATATATATATATATATATATATATATAATATATATATATATATATATATATATATATAATTTCTCAAAATTTTCAGAGAGTAGGTTGGCTTTAATTATAGCTTGTAGATGGAACCCCTCTGCCTTCGTGGGTTATAAGTATGTGATCAAGTTTTACTTCCATGAATACATAGGAGTGCAAGAATTTGAGCAATAATGAATACTCAAAGTGGTGTAGACGACAATACAATGCTAATAGGCCAGGCACAAATATGGCGTTACCTATACGGAGCTTTTGACGCCCTTGCTATACGAAGCTGTATTGAGCTCCATATTGCCGACATAATAAGCAATCACAGCCGCCCTACTTTGTCAGATATCGCCACTGGTATCGACTCTCCCTCAATAAATCTTGATGGGCTTGAACGACTCATGGGGTTTTTGGTTCACAGAAAGGTGTTCGATGAAGAAGATGGTGAGGGAGAAAGAGTTTACTCCCTGAACCACTGTTCTAAGTGGTTGTTATGCAATACGAAAATGTCTTTAGCACCGTTTGTTATGATGTTTACAAACCCAATCATGGCTTTGCCTGCGTATGCGGTAACTCGATCAGTTAAAGAAGGTGGTGCTGCGTTTAAACTGGCCCATGAGGAAGAACTCTTTGATTTTCTTTCGCATAACTCAGACATCAATACCATTTACAACGAGGGTATGGAATCCGTTACTAATATCATGATGGATGCCATCATCTCCGGTTACAAGAATAGATTTCTTGAGTTGAAAGGAAGCTTGGTGGATGTTGGAGGTGGTACTGGTGTGGCAATATCTGAGATTGTGAAGGCATATCCACATCTTAAAGGGATCAACTTTGATTTGCCACATGTTATTTCCACAGCACCAACATATGATGGGGTTACCCATGTGGCTGGTGACATGTTTGAGGCCATCCCTCCTGCAGATACGATCTTCATGAAGGTAAGTTCTGGTGTTCATGAAATTATAATATTGTTCTATTTGCATCTGTGTATGTACAAAAAAGACTTAATTAATTTCTTAAGTTATTTGGTTGTAACATTATGTCGTTTACTTCTTTAATATTTATAGATGTTAAACTAATATCATAGTGACACTAATCTTTCCATTTCAGACGATCTTGCACAGTTATAGCAATGATGATTGCGTGAAGATACTTACAAATTGTCGAAAAGCGGTGCCTAAGGAAACTGGAAAAGTCATTATGGTGGAGATTGTTAAAGACCAGAAAGGAGATGATCCTTTCAACGATATACGTGTTTCATTTGATCTAGCCATGTTTACACTCGTTTCTAGTGGAAGAGAACGAACTGAAGGCGAATGGGAGAAATTACTCAGTGATTGTGGGTTTTGCCGTTACAATATCATTAAAATTCCCGCGCTTTTCTCGGTTATAGAGGCCTTTCCATAATAAACTAATAAGATCAACTTCTCTAGTAAGTGAATGTTTAATGGCAATCCCATGTATTTTTCTTTGACTTCAATAAATATCAATAATAATCATTTAAGGTGGTGGTTTTGAGGAAAAGCTATTCAAGTACCAAAATCGTTCTAGGTGTATTCATGTAAATGGGATGAGTGGATGTCCTCCCCCTTCACTTCCTTGTAATTTCTTGTATCTTTGTACTGTTCTTTTGGGGTGCCTTTCTCGACAAAATATATATATATATATATATATATATATATAGAGAGAGAGAGAGAGAGAGAGAGAGAGAGAGAGAGAGAGAGAGAGAGAGAGAGAGAGAGAGAGAGAGAGAGAGAGAGTGTGTGTGTTAGGATCATATATTATCTTTAAATATCGTGTGAATGTATGACTAAATCGTCTACACATCTTATAATAGTATTATAGTTTTAATTATTTAAATGAATTATTATAAAAATTAAATCCATTTAATTTTAGAAACTTAATCAAGTTAAATATGGAATAATCACTAATCATGGCTATACCTCTTTTGTTAATCAATTTCTATTCATTGTGACTTTTATTTCTTTCGTCCCTAACTCCCACTTACTCTAAACCTAGCAGAAGAAAGAAACCCAAAAATTGAAAATCGTTAAATCGAATCTAAGTCGGAAAATCGTGATACTCTAAATATTCGGTGAAATCAAATATTAATATCTCGTCTTTAGCTGGGTTCATGCTTCGACGAGACATTGGTGGACGTTGACGAAGACGAAGTTGACGAAGACAAAATATTCGGTGAAATCATCACGAACACAAAGTCATGAAGTTTAATCGTCCCGGTCACCATTTTGTACTTCGATGAGACAATGGTGCACGTCGGCAAATCATTTAATCAAATTGTCTCGAACCCAAATCACTAAATAAGAGACAATCATGAAATCAAGTAGGTATTCCTTCTTAGTCTCGATTCTCTACTTCGATTCACTTCTCTAATTTTCATTTTGATCATTATCGACCTTCAAAGAATTAAGAATACCCATGTAATGTATCTGTGAAATTGTATGGTTGGATACGATATTTCTGGATGTATCTGTAGTCAATTTTCCATATGCAAGGCTGAATCCACATATGTATGGCTAAAACTATATGTAATCGAATTTTCATATGCAAGGCTGAATCCACATATGTATGGCTAAAACTATATGTATAAAACTATATGTATGGCTGAATCAATTTTGTATAAGGGCGTGTTCGGCAAAATTAGCTGGTAGCGGGTGACTTGTAGCGTGTAGCGGGTAGCTTGTAGCTTCTAGCGTTTTATTAAACGCTACATGAAGTAGCATTTGGATTTGGAGCATTTTGTTTAAACTAAACACTAGAAGCTTGTAGTGTCGAACGAGACTTTCTGTTCAAAAAGGAGCGTTTTGTCAAACGCTAGAAGCTATAAGCTCTTAAACGCTCCCAAACGCTCCGTGCCGAAGACGCCCTAAGTGTTGTTGAATCTATATATGGTTCTAGAACTAGATGTATCTGTAATTCATCTTCTAACCCAAAAGAATTATATATATATATATATATATATATATATATATATATATATATATATAAATTGTTTCACATCTTTACCATATCAACATTATTATTACATTATAATATTTGACAAGGACTTTATCGGGCATGAGTCAAATTGAAGCTTAAGAAATCAACCACCTCGATCAATAGTTTATAATTAATTGACTAAATTACAGATATAGATTTTTTATGGTTAGTATAAGTAGGAATTTTGACTTCAAGTTTTAAAATTTTGACATGACTAATTATATTAGTTTCAGGGTTGGTCTTCCAAGTGGTTAAATATAAATTTCAAATGTTATATGTTCATATATAACCCATTTTTTTTATCAAAGTGAATTAGTTAAATTTATAAACTGGTACAGAACAAATTTGCAATCTGCTCATATTTCTACCACAATCCTTTTTATTCTTTTTACTTATTTTTGCAGGTCAGGAACATAGGATAAAAGCTTGTTATTCTCACCGTAGTCATTCTCACAGAATTTGATTCCATGGTAATTATTCTCACAGAATGTTACTATCAAGGGCCTGAATGCAGTAGAGATAAATGGTGTGTGAAGGGAGCATGATGATCAAGGAACTAAAGGCTTGATGATGAGTTTTTGAGCAAGGGGCATTATATAATATTTTCACCATGCTCTTCTTGCAGAACAACAAAGAGCTCCACACCATTTGGTTCCTTATCCACCTTCTGGGAAGCACCAAAGACCTAAACCACCTTTCATTGTTGTAGTTAGCTCCTCATACAGTACAGAGATCGGGCCATAAGGTTTATATAATTGTACTTTATTTTCATTCTCATAAGAATTTTAGGCTTCAAAATTGTAAACTATCTTCATCCTAATAAGAATGTCATATTTTTATATTTGAATTTTAGGTTCTTTTATTTCCTGTCTTATTCTTCAAAATGGTTCGTTTACTATTTCTAGAACTCTGAATTATTCTTCAAGAATGTTGGGTATGTACTTGCAATTAATGTCTTATTCTTCTAGAATTTTAACCTCTTCTTTAAAAATGTTAAATTATTCTTCAAGAAAGTCAGTTATGGTCATCAGATTAATGTCTTATTCTAGAAGAATATCTTGCTAGAATGTCATTCTTAATCATTCTTATCATCAAGCATGAACCTTTAACTAAAAATATTGATTCATTAAAATTTTCATGATATGTAAGAAGCTTTAATTTTTTAATAATCTATTCTTCACGTTGTATTAACCATGAGAACTATAAAAATATTGCAATTCTTAACTATAAGAATGATAAATAAATAAAAAAAAAGATTCACAGTAGTTAATTCTTAATTGTTCCCATAATCAAGAAAAAAAATCAAATCTTATAGGTTTGAAAAAATAAAACCTAATTCTTAAAGAATAATATGTGTTTTGTGTTTTTTACTACAGTGTAAAAATTATTACAGTATCTAAATTGAAATTGAAACTAATATCAGATGAAAGTCTCCTTTCCATATATATATTTTTAACAATTCTTATGATTTTCCCTGTCAATTAATTAAAGACAATTATATAGTAAATATTATCCCATATTAATAAAATGTACCCTCATATCTGAACTCCTCATTCTTTTAATCCAATGAACAGGATTTAGTCACATTTGATCCTAACCTTATACGCCACGTGTCCATCTTTTACACAAGCCTTCTGCCACGTTTCATTTTTTTGTTCACTCCTATTTTGCTTTCCCGCTCAAACTTTTCTATGTAAAGTTACTAGTTGCGAGACTCATGTATTACATGGGTTAATTTAAAAAAACAAGTTAAATCTAAATGTCGAAATATTTGAGAACTTTGAATTTATTAGGAAATAAGAAAAATAATGATTTATTATTATGATAATGATTTTTATCTTTTAAATTTAAACAAATAATTTAAATAAAGAAACAAAATTAATGAGTTTTAATTTTGACAATTTCGAAATTAAAAGGTAAGTTTATTATTAAAATTTATATCCATTTATTACTACATTTATTGCAATTATTACATTAAAATATTATGTGGAATTTAATAAAATATTAAAACTCATAAAATGACATGTGGAAAAAAAAATTTAATTGAAAATAACCACAAAATGACATTTGGCAAATTGAATGAGAGTGTGACAAGTGGGAAAAAAAACCTTCATTTATTAAAGAGGATATCCGATTCTTTGTTTTTGATTACAAAATATCTCATAAAATCTGCAACAAATATTCCACAAATCAAGCTAATAGTAAGAAATCAGGAGCAAATTTTGAATGAGATCTTATGTTGTCTTCCTATATATGAGACGGTGTGCGATCTAATGTTTTTTTTTGTGACTGTGATTCATCTGCTAACTCATAAGTCCTAATCGATCATTTATCCAGAGTCTCGACAGAAAATTGAAAATCAGCGTTAAATGATTTCTCCTACGTCTTCTTCCCTGATTTTGTTTAATAGACTACTTCATCTCTGTATTTTCTTCCTTTGATTTTATGACGCTTTCAGGAAAATGATACAAGTATCTAAAACCGATTCAAAACTTAAGTGAAGAAAGTGAGTGCTTCAGAATGCAGGTTAGTCCTATAAAAATGGACGACTTTTAACCTCAATAATACTTGATTTTTATCTTGATTTTTATGATGAGTTTTTTTCCTGTTATTTATGATGGAGATCGGGGTTCCATCAGCCCCTTTTTCTTTTCCAGGCTATTTGTGAACTCTAGGAATTCCAAGTAAGGTTCAAGACACTTAATATATTATCTTTTATTCAAACTGGTGATGGATTCAGACTATGAGTTTCATCATTTCTATCATTTATGTTTCTAACTTTTGGTGGTTTTACCAAGCATGTGTAGGAGGGTCTAAATCTAGTCTTTTCTGTGAAGATAAAAGAACATACTATATATAAAAAGGGTTAAGGCCCTTTGTCAAGTGATATTGATTGAAGTTGGTTCCTTTTATTGTGCATTGGAATGTGCTTGATTATGTAAACATGACTTATAGTTTTCAATGTGTTTATCATTTAATCATTTAGCTTATTAGCTTAAAAGATTTTACAAAGTTTCATACATCTCTAACAGGTAAACTTCAGTATTCATCTTTTCTTAGTGTTCTTTTTTATTATAGAATTCTATTTTCATTCTTCCTAATACAACAAAAGTATTTTCATTCTTCCTAATATATCACATCACTTTTAGCATAATATATATATATATATATATATATATATATATATATATATATGTATAACCGAAATCCTCATGCATAAGTCTCATTTTCACTTCAAAAACGTTCCACATTTTCTCTCAAAACCCATACATACGTCTTTAAATCTTCATATCTTCAAGAACCATTCCCAGTACATCTTCAAACTCCCTATGAACATCATCAAACTTACCCAGAAAATATAGTTCTTCAATTGATTCCTAAGAAACCTTGTAAGTATTTCTTACATAATCTAGTGTTATAAAAACACTTTAATTGTTGTTTCACTAATTCACACACAA